AATATCATTAACTCATATCATATCTGAAAATGTTACCAGTGCGTTTTATTCCAATCCACTTACTTCATAATCTGTGTTTTTTAAAAGCTTTCTTGTACAAAGAGGAAGAATAATAAACTAATTTGGTAGTTTCGGTAAGCATTTTGTATTTCATAAACGTTTATTTTTAATTGGCATGCCTTTATAATCTAATACAAATGCGGGAATGTAGGCTGGATTTCAAATGACTAAAATCCCTGCCACAAACATTCTTCAACAAATTAAAAATGAGAACATGTAGATATTTTTAGAGTTATTCTAGATGTCCTAATGACCATTCACAATTGGCCGAAGTGCATTTTTAGTAATCGCCTTCTTATGTCGAGACCGACCCTAAAGCGTGTCTTGTGTATTAACATATGTCTCTTGTTATGCTGCATCCATTTACACATCGTGAAGGAATTAAATTGCTTTGGGCCTGTAACTTTCTAATGAGAAAATAAGAAACGGTATTAAAGACACTTAATGTCCCTCAGTTAATGAAAGCCCGTCGAATTAACATGATCAAATTGAAGCCTTGGTCAATTAATTAGACGTTTATCTACTTGGGCCTCATAATACCATCTAGAATTTAAATTCATTGACAATAAAGGGATTTTCTATGTATTTAGTAAGGGCATTATTATAGAGAGTTTAATGTCTTCATAATAATAGTTTAAATCGTCGTTCTCATCATTTTTAAACAATGACACTATAAATACATAAAATGATTTATGATTAACTAATACAAATTGACCTTGTACAACTTTTGTATAATACATTTTAACCTACAATACCATTGAGACGGAGTTAGATGTGGTGTCAGCATATGATTCCCTTCGATATGAAGGAAAGTGAACAACTTAGGAAAAAGTGGAAAAAATGATCCAGAGCTTACACTGACATTGTGACTGTTTCACGTCATCGAGCAAATTGGCATTCAAAGAAACAAAATATTTGTCCAGGAACGAATGGAATAATTATATTGACAATCAAGGCGTCTGTATGATTCGTTGTATGAAGCGTTTTTCTCCCTCAATTTTTTCATAAAAAAGACTAGACATGAATTCAGTCTAAAAAGCATTTTACGCCCAAAGCTACACCCATCTATAATTTTTGGTTTGCCCTAGAGAGGTACCACATAAAAAAGAGATTTTATTTTCTCTCAGCCTTTTCTTTTCACTCCTCTTCTCTTTTCATGTAACCCCAGTAAATCTAGATTTGTCAACATACGGGCCTGGGACTATAGAAAGAAAATCGATAACAATATTTTCAACGTGTTCGCATAAGAACGAAAAGGGTTCACAATTTTGGACTCGTGTTTGGTGTGGGAAGGTTTAATTAAAACAGAAACCTGCGAGCAGCGGAGGGCTGCAAATATTATTGGCTTGGACTTGGTAAAATGGTGCGTATCAAGAAGGAGTAAACGAGAGAGAGAGAGAGAGAGAGAGAGAGAGAGAGAGAGAGAGGGAGAGAGAGAGAGATATATACATATAAAGAGTGTTTAGATTTATCATGCAAGAGAGAGATAGAGAGAGAGAGAGAGAGAGAGAACAAATGAAGACAAAAGGGAGAGATGACATCAAACAGTAAAGAAAAGAAAGAAAGGAAAGAAAGAAAGAAAGAAATACATAACAAAATTTATTAAGAAATTAAAGAGTAAAAAGAAAATGAAATTCCAACGGATTAGAAATTAAAGAATAGAGAAGCTGGAGTAAGAACTGAAATGAAACACACATCTTGTAGTTCTTAATAAGTAATAGTAATTATAGCAAGTAAGACTATGTATGATGAGTATAAAACGAAGGTATAATTGAGAGAAAGAAAGAGTTACAAACCGACAAAAGGGAGATACAGAAAGAGAAATACAGACAGAAAAAACAGTGAAACAGAGAGAGAGAGAGAGAGAGAGAGAGAGAGAGAGAGAGAGAGAGGGTTAGGAGGGACTGGGAGAGAAAAAGCCAGGTAAAATCGGATATCCTTTCACATAATTTCGATGTACATACTATCCCAGATGATCGAAAGACAATTTTATAAAGCCATTTTAATAATCCATCTGTATTTGGAAAATAGCCTAGTCATATTTCTTTCCGATAATTCGATTGTGAGTACGAAACGTTAACATCTACCAGGAATTCAATTCAAGTAGTATTAGTAAGAGCATGTTATTGTATAGCCAAGAGAAGGAGAAAAGAGAGTAAGGGAGGGAAGGAAAGAGAGAGAGAGAGAGACGTTTTGCGCATGCTCTTCCAAAGCGCGCAACAAAGTTAATTCTTACTGCGAATAGATTCAACCTGTTGCGTGGTGTGCGATTTATCTCAGATGGTAGTTAAGACGATCTGAGTTGAACATCTATCCACTTGGCTGCCTCTCTTTTGGCTTTTTAACTTATCTCCTTTCTTCGTAGTCAAGAAGAAAGGTGGAGAAGCCCTGATTACCTATTCTAATCATCAATTCCTTGGATTTTGGAAAGATTTTTAAACTCAAACTGAACTCGTCCACTGGATTCTGTACGCAGAGACTTGTCAGCCTGCAAAGGAGCTCAATTCGTCTGAATTATTCAGATCAAAAATTTCGTCCATTTTAAACAATTTCGCATCTTCTCATCACACTGGTATGTAAACCAAATACTGATATTTTGTAGAATGTAATGCTTGGTAAACAATACAACGATCGTCATCGTGTTTGTTTGCAATTAGAACAAATGACGATACCAAACCGCGTTCTACTTTATAAACTTAAACTATACCATCAAAGACGAGATTGTAACAAGAATACGTCTAAAAGTCCGTCCAAATTAATTGTGACTCTAGGTCTAGAACAGAGGGTCTTACTCTGCCAGTCAAAGTCAAAGTCAAGTGCACTCCCCAATTAACTCCCAAGTTTATCGTACTTTCAACTACAATTTTGTGAGCCAAATACCCGTTTCATATGAATAGCTACCTACATCTAAAATGATCCTTTGAAATGTCGGAAGCAGGTCTATTCACTCTTTTGATTTCAATGACCATTTATTATTAAACATAGAGACACTAGGAGATTGTGGTTGAAAACAAATACCTTGCACACATTATGATGTTAGAAGAAGGAGAAGAAGAAGAGGAAACAATGCGGTAATTGGGGCGAGTCGAAATCAAAAGTCAGAACTTGTGCTTTTCTAGTAGTGTTTATTTCTAAATTGTCCTCGTGATCATCTTCAGTAATATTTCCAATGTTATAACAACATAAATCAGCCGTAATTATTTCCATGTTTTGCATATGTTAACAAGCTTTATCATGTTTATCCTAAAGGTATGTTGATTTAAGAGAAAGGTATTAAAGAAACGTCAAACAGCACACTGTCGTCGCCATTTTTTCTCTCCGAATAAAGGTTTTGCCGGAGAGAGGCCTTCCGTTTTCCGGGGGTATTTGTCTAATAGTTGTCTCATACGTTTACTTTAATCGGTATTTAATATCAGAATGAGAACAGGGATAGATGAAAATCTTAAAACTGGAAACGTTCTATAGATATAATACAAAGCATACACTAGTATGAAAATCATTATCAATCTTTGGAATTATCATAGAGATATATTCTATTCTACATGTTCTTCTTAGACATAGAAGTACATTTATTTACATGGTAACGTCATTCTCCTCCTCATCAGTAGGACATCTGATAGTCAATCTCTAAGTCGATGAATACCACTCGAAATCGAGGAAATTACTCTATTTCTGTCCGATTCCTTGTGGAGTAAAGCATGTGGTTTGTCTCAAGAACTGATGTTGAAGATATTGGTAGACTAGCCTAACAGCTTCACAGTTACATGACAGCTTGAACCAACAAGAGTTCAAAACTCACACTGGTCCAGACAGTGTACATCTGTGTAAAACAAACATACACGCAGGTATACCTGGAAAATGGTCTTTGATTTGTGGGATGAGAGGTAAAATAATAATTAACCTGTTTCTAAGCTTTCATGGACTAACAACTGCGAAAGGATAACGAAGCCTATACCATAATTGTATTACCATCAGCTCATGATGTAATCCATGTAATGGTCATAGTTAAGAACTGGTATTAAAAAAGAAATCGGATACATTGAATTCTCAAAGAGTATGGCAAAGCCTTTAAACAATATATGGTAAGAAATCGCCATAGCATGTATGATTATTAGAATACAACCCCTATTTGACATCTCAATGATGAGGCAAAACTTATGAAAGGTCGTTACATAAAAATACTAGGTAATATAGTAACCTATGCTTTTATGATTTTTGTTTTCCTTATAACACGGAACATTTGCAGCTCTTTATTTTCCAGAGTAGTATCTAGGATTTTCAGAAGGAAAAGTTTTTTTTGAATTTGCTGTAATATCATGGTTCACTAATATTAATGTTTATTTATGATTCTCTATGAACAGGTGAGGTGGATATTTCGACCTAACTCTTTTGTTAATGAATATATTTAATTCGAATACCAACAACCTTATGATTGTTCTTAAATTTTGCTACATTACAAATTGAACTTTTGATTTATGCCGTCAAATCTGAATCGTCTTTTATCATGAAATAATATTTCATCGTGTGTGACTAAAGGTTGATTTACAATAATCATTTGTACCAATTGTGTTCAAAACACTTCAAACAAAAGCTGGTTGTGAGTAAGTGACATGTTATTAAGTCACCTCTCCTCAACAATGACTCGTCAGTTTGGAAGTCTAAATCAAGTGGTATATTCGGTTTGAAATAAACTTTACCTAAATCTATAGATGAGGAATATGTTTTGCTTTATCACGAATGCTCTTTTTGTGGGAGAAAAGATGAGATTCTAACTATTATCATCCATCCATCCCCTTACTCTAAAAACTTAGCAGACCCTCAAAATGTTGTCATGGAAACTGTGGAGTCGCATTTTGCCGGAAAGCATCAATATTTAGGCTTTCGAACCTTTGAAACGTGATATCGCTTACATTCATTTCTTCCTGTCTTTCTCTCTGCAGTGTATGTAGGTGATCGTGTGAGGTGATTCGTACCAATATGGATAACGCTGTTGCACCCGGAGGTCCTAAGCAGGACAAAGTGTATGCCTTTAACTTGAATCCAGTGGGGGGTAAGTTCGGTGCCCTTATATCGCCCTTTTCCCTTTTGCTCAATTGCTCTATCTTGGCCTGATTTAGCCCTTGTCTGTCAATACTTTATACGATATACAGACTGTACTTGTTACATTCCTTTCCTCGACAACTGCAAATTATTTGTTTCCTTTTTTTAATATTTTATTTAAAGTGTCCCTTTTATACTTTTAAGATTATTACTCTTCCGTTTGACTTTTGCCTATTATTCATATTGCCTATTTTTTTTCTTAAAATATTTTTTTTAAAAGCAGTTTTGCAAGTCTATAGTTCTATGTAAGCGTGATAACCTTCTTCCGTGTATTATATTCCCACAGCTTTACTACTTTTGACTTCATTTTCCTAGATCTACATGGAAAAATATGTTTTCATTTTAGTATTAGATTTACAAACATTATTATCGAGAGGGGGAATAAAACCCTTATAATATTTCCAATGATAAGAAAAGGTTACAATGACTCTTTAAGTTATGGAATTTGGTAAGTAATCGTTAAAAATACATGATAATGGTAAATTTGATTAGGTTAAATTATATGACAAACATTCTTTCCATGTCCCTTTTAGAGGGCGTTGCTTGGAGTGATGACAATGATAATTGTACTGATGGTGATGATGATGTAATAATAAGATAAACACAACAATTACAATCACAACAACAACAATAGTGATATTAATGATAATAATGATAATAATAATCATAATGATAATAATGATAATAATAATGATAATAAAAAAGAAGAAGAAAACAAAGAATAATGATGATGATGATGATAATAATAATAACAATAATACTACTACTACTACTACTACTACTATACCACTACTACTTCTACTACCACTTCCTCTAATAATACAAATTTATTCTGTCAAGAAGAACTTGTGTTTTATTAAACATTTAGTCACAAATTTGTATCATTTGGAATCATCGTTTATTCACCTTGCTATGCAAGGAAAATAGATTATTAGATTGTTCCTTGTTGATTTCTATATCTGATGCTTCTCTTGAGCGTAACGCAGTGGGAAAGCTTTGCACTTTCGATGCCTGAATGCAACACCTCTTTCCACTTCCATTTGTCTCCGATCAGCCGATCACTCTCTATATAGCACACATGAATCAATTGGATTGCGTTATTATCTACGTTTTACAAGGCATACTTGTGAAGAAAACAAGGTAAAACACGAGTTAATCAACGCAATGCTTGTAATTTTCATGTCGAAGTAATCTTTTGTACGATATTAATCTAAAGTGAAGGCTCAAAGGCCGCGTTAATCACTGGCGCAGTTTTACGACAGGAGATAAACGACGCCTTGTATGCAATCTGGTGAAATTTACCAACACTTTTTGAGACTAGCTGCATGCGTGACAATCGAAATAAATAACCTTGAAACTAATCTCCCAACTCATATCTTTTGCAGAATGTAACTTGAACGAAGTCGCGAGATGCCTCTTCTATTCTCAATTGGGCCTAAAGAGGAAATTCATATTGCTTAATTGTATCGTTACATACAAAAATCTGTAAAGAGGTTTAGCTTTCGTTTGCCAATTTTGAAAAGATGCGTATTGTCTTTTGCACACGAGGCGTCATTCGTTGGCGGAGTGCTGCGTCAGTCACTAGCGCGATCTGTAAAGATGATGGTGGCGGAGTGCTGCGTCAGTCACTAGCGTGATCCCTGAAGAATTTGTTTATAGCTCCTACGCACTAGTTTGGCCAGAAGGGATTATACCTCCATGCATGGTCACTGACAGGTGGTCATCTCATCAAATACGCTCTCAATTAGCATAGGAAAAGAGGATCATGGGTGACCAATGGTCACCGATTATGCATTGTTTGCTATATAGAGGGCGCAAGTAGCTATAAGTAGTGCAGTGGGACTTTGAGTCACATCGTACAAGCAGTTCATGTAAAATGAATAGTGCATTATAATCAATGACGCCGCACGTTCAACATGCACTGCTCTCGAAGACCGTCCTCGAAGTGACATGATCGCCTTGCTATATTCATATATGGGAGGGGGGGGGGGGGATGTTGGTAACTCGAAGACTTGAAACTTCATTTTTCAAATGAGACATCAATTCGATCGCATTATTACCTGCGCTAAAGAAGCCTTTCATTGAAAGCAATTTTTGCTTCGTTAATTTGCTTGGTGCGTCAAAGACCACACTAGTTAATAAGCTTTCATTTTTGCATCAAGATAATAGTGCACTTAATTCGGGGCGCCCTTTCGTTAGTCCTTGTGGATACAAAGCTTCCAGCCCACAGTCCATATCCATAATCTTTATCTCGTCGATGTTTTTCTTAGATAAAGGTATAAATCAAAAATTAAACCCGATCAAACTTAACGACCTCTTTCCTAAATATTATACAAATTGGAATTCCTTCTCTTTACACCCGATCATGCAGTTTTAAAATTAAACATGGAAATTAAAAGCATCATAATATGAAGAAAAGAAACCTATCATGGACTAATCATGGTAACTTTTGATTAGATGTAAATATCTAAACGAAATCAAACGAACAGAACAAAATGTCACAATACAATAAAAAACAAGAAAAGAAAAAGAACAGACTACTCTTTATTTCTCTTATTCAAATAAATTGATGTCAAATTTGATGGTATCATTAACTGTTATTAAAAAAACCCAAATAATATGATATTCCAACATTGTTCATTGAAATAAATGTTGCATAAATCTGAGAAACCATAGTCCATTAAATGAAATTTCATCATATCCCCCCAAAGAACCTCTTTGTCTTGTATGTCAAATGCAATAAAGAGATAAGTATGAATCAGAAAGAGAACTTGTACTGAAAAGTTCAACAATAATAAAATGAATCATTGAAGGAACAGTTCACTTATAAAACCAGGCTTGCCAAAGACTGATTTTTGTGTATTTGTTATATTAGTAGTTTAGGTAAGATCTCCAACGTTGACTAACTATCCTTGTTTTACGTTCCTGGAAAAGAAAAGTTTGGAGAGTTGAAGAAAGTGAAACTGAAAATGGCGGGAGACGGGTGGTGGAGACGGGTAGAAGATGGTAATGAATAGGCTGGTTTCAAGTAAGCACTCTCCGTCTCCTTATCAATCGATAAATGCACTGAATAGCCCCAAGCTCTATACCTGGATGCCTGCCGAGCAAAGTTAAATGAATACAGCCTTGTTCACATTTAAGATTTCAGTCGGTCTGTCTTTCTATCTCTCTCTCTCTCTCTCTCGCTCTCTCTCTTTTCTTATCTCTCTTCTTATCTCTCTTTCTGTCTCTCTCACTCTCTTCTTACTTCCTATCTCTCTTTCTGTCTCTCTCACTTTCTTCTTATCTCTCTCTTTTTTTAAAAATAATCTTTCCTTGTATATCTCTTTCTATCTATATTCTTATCCCTCTTCGTATTTCTCTTCTTATCTCTCTTTCTGTCTATCTTCGTATATCTCTTTCTGTCTCTTCCTCTTTTGACTCTTCCTCTTTTTCTCATTCCCTCTTGAAGTGGAAAAGGAGGAGAGGGAAAGGGAGAGGAAGAGAGAAAGAGAGAGAGAGAGAGAGAGAGAGAGAGAAAGAGAAGGGGGAGACAGATGCTTTCTAGCAACCGCAATAGAGAGAAATAAAAAAAAAACTATGGAAAGAAGTTTAATTTTCACATAAAATTACATGGGTTGGATACGCACCCCATGAGTTTTGTTCGTAGTATTAGTAGACGTAATAGAATTAGTAGTAGAAGTAGAGGTAGTAGTATCGGAATAGTAGTGGTGGGGTGGTGGTATAAGTAGTAGTATTAGTAGTAGTACAAGTAGTATTAGTAGTATTAGTATTAGTATTAGTAGTAGTAGTTGTAGTAATAGTAGTGCATATAGTAGTATAAGTAGCAGTAGCAGCAGTAGTAGTAGTATAATAGTAACAGTATTAATAGTAGTATTAGTAGTATTACAAGTAGTAGTTGTAGTAATAGTAATACATAGAGTAGTATAAGTAGCAGTAGCAGTAGTAGTAGTAGTATAATAGTAATAGTATTAATAGTAGTATTAGTAGTAGTACAAGTAGTAGTAGAAGTAGAAGTAGTAGAAGTAGAAGTAGTAGTAGTAGTAGTAGTAGTAGTAGTATTAGTAGTAGTACAAGTAGTAGTTGTAGTAATAGTAGTACATAGAGTAGTATAAGTAGCAGTAGCAGTAGTAGTAGTAGTATAATAGTAATAGTATTAATAGTATTATTAGTAGTAGCACAAATAGTAGTAGAAGTAGAAGTAGTAGTAGTAGTAATAGTAGTAGTAGTAGAAATAGTAGAAATATTAGTAGTAGTAGCAGTAGTAGTAGTAGTATAGTATTAGTATTAGTAGTAGTAGAAGTAGTAGTAGTAGTAGTAGTAGTAGTAGTAGTAGTAGTGAAAGTAGTAGTAGTAGTAGTAGTAGTAGTAGTAGTAGTAGTAGTAGAAGTAGTGGTAGATTGGTATTGGTAGCAGTAGTCATGATACTAATATTATGCAGTGTAGCCACAAACTGTCCCTGGTTGTTTAATATCACTCACTCTGATTTAGTTTAATTTCTGAATCGAATCGATCTCAGTGATATTAGGCGAATGTTTACTCGTTGTGTTGTGTTACTCGGCTGTCAATTCGACAAACTTGACAAACTAGTTCGACCAACTGTCCGACGAACTTGCAGGGCAAATAAAAACAGGCATGTATCAACATTATAGCGTATCACTTACACAAATTCATATTTAAATCGATGAAGACCCATCAAACCCTAGGGAATGAACGCTGGCTGGTGACAAATATCGGTCGTTGAAAGAAAAGTAGAAGACATAACATGAGAGAAGCGACAAGTGGCAGAATGGTAATGATTGTTAGTAAGGTCCACTGAGTCAGCTTGAGTTTACTTCTCTGCAACCTTGATTACCAGGAGCAATTTCCCCGAAATAGAATATGTTTTATATTATTTTAATATCTCTCCAAGGATGGGAGCATCGGCCCCATTTAGTCCACCACTCGACC